ATGCATATAACTTAAAATTTTTACCTAACCAGTGTCATGTATGCTAGTGTGTTGGATTTTATTTACCATTATACAAATATTGGGGTGACCATTTTGTATATAGTTTTTCTTGTAGTTGCCTAGAGCAAATATCTGGATCCAGAGGCTATCAATTAGCTGTTAAAGCAAAAGCTTTAACAGTATTCCCGACTTGTAGGAATTTTTTTTTTTTTAAGATTTTTATTGGGGAATTGGGGGATAACAGCGCTGGGGAATTGGGAGAAAGGGGAACAGACAAGTTGCTGTCGTTTTGTTCTTCAGTCTAGTTGTGGAGGACATTGCTTCACTNTTGTTCTATAGCTGACATGGCCAAACCTGGGCCTCGGGCATAAGGTGGAGGCACCGAGACCACAGACGGAGTTGGTTGTTTTAATTTTGATGGATTTTTAGATAACCCCCAGTCCTTCATTTTAGTTACTGGAGGAGGAGGCAAACGATCAGGTGTTAACAGATCGTCTTTTAAAGAAGGATATAATGCTTTTGGAACTACTGTAGGTGTTTCTACAGACTTCTCTTCCCCTTTTTTATCCTCTGAGGGATCAACATGGCTTTTACACTTGGGATCCCTGTCTTTTTTTTTGTTTTTTGTATTAGTCTGTAAAGGCTCTAAAACTGACCGGACCTGTTTTCAAGTCTCCCAAATCGTGTTTGGAATGTTCTCTCCATTAAGTTGCTTATCTGAAATATTTTTTTTTACCTTTTTCCATTTATCTAAATTTATTGTTCCCAAGTCCGGGAACCAAGTACAATGGGTTTTAATAATTTTTAAAAGTTTTTTTTTTTTTTTTTGATACTTTCATCCCTCCCTTCTTAGAAAGTTGTTTAAGGAGGCAAATACAAGGTCTATAACGGCTCTCTGAATTTCCCATGTTAGTTTATATAAGAAAAGAAAAGAAAGGTCTTTTACGTAATTAATCACTTAGATGTTCGCCTGGCCGCGTCCCTCGCGGGACTAAGTCTGTCTTGGCTGAAGGCGTTTTGGTATAATCCCCCGAACTGGTGGGTAAATGTCCGAGACAAATGCCCAGTCACCGTTATGCCGTACGACAGATTACGGAACCGCAGGTGGGAGCCCACGCAAGTTTTGCGATAAAAAGATCTTGAAACTATTATTAATCACTCACACATACACACTTTCACACACATAGAGTTTGTTAGTAAGGTTATTTTTCGGATACCCCGGTACAATTCCCCAAAACTTTCCCTACTTCTCACCAAGTAGAGTATCGGCCCGTCCTGGGGTCTACGCCTTGAAAATTCACCTAGACTCGGAGTCTTCCTTCCCTTCTTCGAGCCCCACGTTGGGCGCCAGATGTCACGTCCAGCGTGGCAAGGGCAAATGGGACACGAGAGGGGCGGCGCAGATTGAATAAG